CCATTGATGTGCACTCGAATACATAAATATCGATACTTACAGCACGTGGCTCGGTTGCCTGCCCCTGGGCTTTTCCTGCGGCAGATAATTGTAGTGAAAGTGAATATTTTTGCCAGAATCATCTGCTCATCAGCCGGCAAAACCCATCATGTGTACATGAAAATGGGCATTGTGTTCAATATGGAACAGTCTTCAGCAGCGGCCTCACCTTTTTGGCCATACTGGAGCGGTCAATTGTGAAGTTGAAGTTCTCCTATCGTTTTTAGCAGGACTAAAGCGTTCCTTTGCGTAGTTCCCACCTTTTTGGCTAGACTGGAGCGCTGTTTGGCGGCTGTCCTGTATCGCGTGCTGTACAGGTCGCGCGGGTACCAGTCGACAACGAACCAGTCGGAGAAGCCGAGGGCACCGCAGCAGCCGAAGTCCTGCTGCACACCGTCCAGATACTCCTTCAGCGGCTGGCTCTGCATGTAGCGCCACATGGCGCGCGAAAAGCCGCGCTGGTAGGCCGCCTGAAACGAGTCCAACTGCGCGACGGAGATCGTCTAATGTCAACATATGCATGTCACACACAACTGTTCAGTTTCACTCAGGTAGGGGCTCTGGGCTAGGCCTGTGCAAAATTTGTCTTTTTCTACCGTCTCCGATCCGACTCAGGTTTGATGGAGGATTCACCCACTGACGGATCCAGCCGTTTTCAAAGGGATGGGCCAAAGCCGGCCAAAAGGTCAGGTATCCAAAGGTTATCAATGACAAAATTTCCCGCTTTTCATATGCTTGGTTTAAAACCCGCGCCCCGTAGGGGGGGCCGAAACGCCCCCCCCCCTGTCCTTTTCGGTCGATATCTCCTAAACGGTCTGAGATATCGCCACCAAACTTTCAGGACCCCTCCGGGCATCAATTTTACACATTGTGACCAAAAATTTTTCCAGAGGCTATGATAGGTTGGCCACAAATGACGTCAGAATGACGTCATGTTCTGTCATTTTCGACCGAAGAAAGACCTTGCGAGAAGACCTGTCAGGCCTACAGCTTTGACGATACAGAAAAATGATCAAGACTTAAAAGGTGTAAAATTGACAGGGCTACAAAACTGCTATCTCGGATTTTTTTAACTTTTTGAGTTTTGACCCCCAAAAATCAAAAAAGCATTTTTGGATATATTAGCCGTAAAATTAACAAAAAATGAGTTTCGAAAAAAAACCGGTATACATGTGATAGTACCTCCCGTCTTCTATCTATATACCAAACTTCAGATCGATACCTCGTTTTTTTGGCCAAGTTATAGCGAAAAAACTGTTCAAAAATGATGACGTCAAATTTTCAAGCTCAATTTTTGGCTCGCAGAGCAAAACAAAGACCACCATTAGACTCCCCGTGACGAGCTGCATCGAATCGATACCCATTTTATGCAAAAATATCAACTTTGAAATTCGACCTAATTTGACCTGACCTTGACCTGACCTTCACCAAAACGTGACCTAGGCTGGCCCCAAAGGCTGCCTAACCCACATAATCGCATTTGTCATGTAAAATGGACCATAAAACATGCATCACACGGCACTTTCATATTGTGACCCCCGGTGACCTGACCTCGCTGTGACCTGACCTGGTATTAGTGACCTCAGATAGCAAAATATGTGTTTGACGAACAATGTACCATCGATGGTTTTCAATAAATTACCAATTTACTCGATTTCACAACACATTTCTTGAAATGCCTGTGAACGGTGAAAATATGACCTTCGACCTGACCTGTGACGTCATCAGTTTGACCTAGGTCAATGAAATTTGGTCAGAAGGTAGTTCCCTGGTGGGGCTATCGAACGCCGATTGAATTTTGAAAATCGGCCGGTACCTTTCCGAGATCTTAGGGGGGGGCCGAAACGCCCCCCCCCCCCCTACGGGTGGTAGGGTCCGCCGGTAGCCCTACGGGGCGCGGGTTAGTTGGGATCGGAAGTGAGGATTTGTTGACTTATCTTGCAGGCATGTCGTCATTTTTTTGTAAATTGCAGTCCTGAGGAGATTTTAAAGGGAGAATTTGATTTGGAAGGGGGGGGGGCAAATCATATTTTGGCCGCCCCTAGCCCTGACTTTGGCCCGGTTGCCCCCCCCCCCCCTTGAATCCGCCAGTATGTAGATTCACCTGATTGTCTTCCAACTTCAACTGTCTTCTGTATAATAAACGTTTTAAATACAGCACGTTTGTTCCAAACATAAACACGATTCTGATATTCAACAATTGGATTGTTACCTGCAATATGAACACGATTCCGATGGCAAGTAGGTAGGCAGTGGTCGCAAATTCGATGAATAAGTAGAAGTAGCCGAACTGGACCGCAGCCCGGCGACCTGTCTTACGGCGCTGTCTGGCAGACACTCCGGACATTACAGCCAGACAACTGGGGAAGCATACAAGGCAGCACGGTCAGACAACTAAAGAAGGCACCCAGGGCAGCACGATCAGACAACTGGGGAGCAGTGTTCGCCATGGGCCGGGTCAGCCCAATGGGCCATGGGCTGGGCTGGGCTACGGGCTGGGCTGGGCCCTGAAATATGAAGGATCGATGGGCTGTGGATGGGCTGGGCCAGGAACTGTAAAGTGTAGTCAGGAGTTCGCGACTGAGACAAAAACCATGACTGCATTAAAACGATTAAATAAGTACGCATGCAATGTGCATTGTGCATGCTGCTCGCAAAATAGTTTCTTTGCTCCCTTTGGATACCTGTGTGGTGTCAATAATTTTTAATCCATTCATTTTTGACGGGCTGGGCTTTGACGCTTTTACCAGGAATGGGCTCGGGCTGGGCCGGGCTGTGAACCCATGGGCCTGGGCTGGGCTGGACTGGGATTTTGCGGCCCGTGGCGAACACTGCTGGGGAGGCATACAAGGCAGCACCGTCAGACTGACAACTGGTGAAGACACCGGACACCCCAAACATAACCTTCAGACAAGTGGGCAGGACACTGGACACCCGAAACATAACTGGGCCAGAGCTGGGAAAGACGCCCTTATAAGACGTTTCTTAAAAATATATAATAATAGTTACGCGTAATCCTTTTTTTCTATTACACAGAATTTACAGAAAACACTACTATAAAATCGTAGGCAGGTTGATATTTTTTCTTCATTACTCCATCTTTCTTTCACTATTTCTTCCTACCTTACTTTCGGCATTCCATTGCACATTTTCCAAATATTTCTCTCTTCCTGGCTCTGACCCTCCCTCTGACCTCCCACCCTTCTCCCCGTCCCACTGACCTGGATATGAGTGTGGCCGCGCTGGCGGCGATCAGCCCGTAGGGGAACAGGTCCGAGTTGACCTTCTGACCCGTCACCAAATGGTGACGCTGTAGGTACGGTCTCACGTAGAAACTCAGCGCCAGCAGCGCCAGTCCCACCTGGCCAGGGCGTGCACATTCATTAGAAAGAAAATTATATTTGAATTCTTATAAACACACCTACGTTCTAAGCGTTTCAATATGTCAAAGTTTCTATAGTAGAAAGTAGCTGCGAATATGTGACTATAATACAAAGGTATAGCCAAGGGTATAGCCATGTTAATAATTTAGTCATGCTCATGTATCTTATTACGGAGCGAGCGAAGCGAGCGGAGTCTCATACTGAATTAAGGGAAAATCCTGAGTATGAGCGGCCGACGCTCTTCAAAAGCTAATATCTTAGGAACGGGACATCCGATTGACAAGCGGTCTTCTTTACTGAATGTCACTTGGACGTAAAAGTTCTGTGGTGTGATGGCCACCATGCGTTCTTGCCAACCACCGCACGTGGCGCGTGGTAAAGTTGGACATTTTTTAAGAACCCCCAAAATTGCAACCTCAATAACGGCACAACGGTTGGGCCGATTGAATTGAAACTCGGTACACAGTTAGGTCTCCATCAGATAGTTCATCTGCATGTGATAAGGCTGGGGTGCTACAGCACGTGCGCACGTGCAGGGGGCGCTCCCAGATCTCGAGAACGGCTGGGCCGATTGCGCTCAAATTTGGTACACGGTTGGGGACCAGTTAGTAGGGTGCCGTGCAAAAGTCAGTTTGGACCCCGCTTGCACGTGCGCACGTGCAGTGTGCCGCTTCCAGATCTCGAGAACGGCTAGGCCGATTGCGCTGAAATTTGGCACATCGCTAAAGACCGGTTAGTAGGGTGCAGTGCACAAGTTAGTTGGAGGTACCCCCTCGCAATTTCGCACGTGCAAGGCCCATCCTCTCGCTCGCTCCGTTGGTCGCCCAAAAGGCGTTTTACTGGTGTCATGTCATGCCAAGAAAGGAAAGGATGAATCTACCCTACATGAAGACCGCAAGTGAATCGGTTCAGCCATTGTTGAGATAGGCATCAGCCTTTCAATGGCGTGATCACTGCGTGCAAATGTAAAAACAACTTTCTTACCTGGCATAGCAGAAGACTCAGAAGAATTATTGAAAAAGATATGCATTGCCGTGATTTTTCAGAAATCTCGATTGGAGGACATCCACGTGTCTGAGATGATGACATGTTTCCTTTTGAAACAAATGCTTGGAATCGATTATAACGGGTCTATAGGTGGACAGAGTTCTCTTTTCATTTCACAAACTCTATTGTTATCTAATTTTTGTAGCGTTTCATCTTGCAGTGACGTTTAAGCCATTAAAAATGAAAATGATATTAGCAGCTATACTTTTCGTCAATATCGAAAAAGGGCATCTTGCATGGTACAATGATTAAGCACAAACCCTGAATAATCGTCATTTTGTTGAGTGAATACAGTAATACAGCTTCGATTTATTGGTATTTTACCCCAGCATGTGATATATGTTTGCAACATACCACGTTATGAAGCATTATTCTCCGTAGGTATGCGTAGGTATAGGTATGTGCAACTGTTCCAGGAGGAGTAGATACCATGCGTCCCAATAAAAAGTTATGTCGCTAGTCTGTTTTATTTTCTGGATCTCAGGGATGCAGGTATCCGCCCCCCCCCCCCCCCCTGGTGCGTATTTGGCGCGGCCTCTCGTCCGTGCATGCAGGCTAAAATCGTCGCGCTCTTTTAGCTACAGACGTCTCAATAATAATAGTAAAATATATATTGGCAAAGGTCTTATTTGTACACAGCTTTCTATTCATGTGCATTTGGTCTGGACACTTTTTAGTTCATAGCTTCTCAGCCACCCTTAGCGAGTACCTATACCGTCGATGTAGTTAGGGCTCAGGGCTAGACACAACAGCCGGAACCTGACAGACAAATGCCAGCGAGGACGTGCAGGGCACGGCAAGCCACCTGTCAACAGATACGCTCGCCAAAACAAAAACACATCGTCTATCAGTCGTCGGACCAGGTTCCTGGCCATTCCACTCATTATATCCGTAGGGAGATCCATCTTCCCAAACCCACTGAGAAGAGCCACCCTCCCTACTCAGACCGATCCATCCATTGTTGAAGCTTTTCTCCAACAGCAGTGCGATGAGTCCAGTCCTCGGTTCTCTGCTGTCACTGTAGCCAGGTGACTGAAACCGGCAGTCATACAGCGCTGCTTGGCTCTGTCATACGTAGTGCGACTATCGCTGCCAAAGTAGCAGTTGTCGTCGGTGTGAAGGACGCTAAGTGCCGGACATGTGTAACAGCGTCCATCCGGTCTTTGCGTAGAGCCGGCAGGACACGATGGTCTTGGCTGGGGCGCGTTCGCGAGCATGTCCAAGCGAGAGCTGATGTCCCGCAGGGAGTCATCGGTTCTGCTTTGTAAGAGCTCCAGAGTGCGGGCCAGTTGAGTGTAGTCCGACCTCAGGTATCCAAGCTCTGTCAGGATATCTTCCTTCCCGTTCTCCACTGCCGTGATGATTGACTGAGCCAGCTGCTCGACGGCAGGTCTGAGGTCCCCCAGCTCGTCTCCAACACGGCCTATAGCACGCTGAAGCTCGGAGAGTCTCTGCAGGACGGCCGTCTTGGCGAGCTCGCCCTCGGTTTTCAGCGTCAGCAGGCGGTCAGTGCAGACGTCGTTTGCCGAGTGCCACCCGGAGCGAGGGCGGTGCGGCAGCGGGGCGGCCATGACCCCGGTCGGGTCACCCTCGGAGGGGGTCAGAGGCGCTGGTCCAGCCGACACCGAGAGGTCACGACCCTCTCCAGCCAGCTGAGGATCAGGAGGACGATGTGGGGTCAGAACACGCCGACACTGCAGTGAACATTCGCAATGATGGGAAGTGTACCTATGTACAGGTCTCGCGGGTTTTAGCGGTAGGTTTTGCACCTAGAAAATTTAGTGTACTTCAGGCTATATCTTCGTCGTCTTAAGCTTTTATGTGTTGAAGATGCGATCGACTTGTTGGGTAAAAAGCCGGCCATGATCGTGTAAAATGGCTTCATCGTAGATCGATTAGTTTCTGAGATATAACCGGAAATGTAAAAGTGCAAAACCTACCGCTTAATCTCGCGAGACCTGTACATACAAAGCTCTTAAACCTCTTAAACACACAGCGTGCATTTATATGGCAGGTCTAATAAAATAGGTAGGGGAGAGTGGGGTAAATTGGCCGCTTTTTTTAGACAACGATGTAACTAAAAATCGACAACACATTTCTGCATTTTCTCAACGCTGACAGGTGTGGCATTCATTTTACTTTCTTGGACAGTAAACTTGAAATGATAGAGTAACTACATATATTGAAATTGTGACGTATTACAAAGGTCTGCAAAGCGGCCAAATTGCCCCACTAGCAGGGTTATTTGGCCGGGGGTGTGGGGCAATTTGGCCGGTGTTAGTTTGAGGCCATGATTTTTGTTATAGGCGAGTCAGCTTCACATTCAGCAATGACGCTTGTCCTACGACGCATTTGAAGCATTTTGGAATTTGGAGGTTAACTCAGCCGTCACAGAGGTCGAAAATAGTCAAAATAACGGCTCTAGATGCGATGACAGTTTTTTACGAATAGCTTTTGAAGTAATCAAGCTAGGCCAAAACTAAAAGTACCATCGTAATTCTCTCGTCATTCCGCATCGAAACTTGTATGTGTTGACCTCAAGAGGTCAAGGTCAAAGGTTGGCTTCAGGTCACGTTACCTCAGGTCGCTTGACCTCAAGGTTACGTGAGTTCAAGGTCATCATGTATATCTTTCGATGCGCCTTGACGAGCTGAACACAATGATACCACTTGCGCGGCTGTATCTTTTTTCTGTACGTATTTATTAGCAAAAAAACGTTAGGTAACCTTTGATGACGTCACATGCCCTTACAGCTGTCCAATAGGAAATATGCATCAAGGTAGTCAAAGTTGGTCATGAATTATGTCCTTTATGGTATAATTGACCATGACAACTCGGCCGTCCCAGCATCGTGACTCTGAGCGCACCGGCCAAGTTGCCCCGCTAGCCCCGGCCAAATAATCCCATATTGCCATTCTGAATTTTTTTTTGTCTATAAAGTCGTCATGGCTGTACAGAACTAGATGAAATTGCTCTTGGAACCGCTGAACACCCTCAAAATGGCGTCATAATGTTGGAATTCGTTTACAGCCCAAATACTACATGTTATACAAATTTTTAAACGGAAGTAAAAGTTACCATTTTCTAACGAAATTCACCTTTTATTAATTTTGAATAAAACTAAGAGGGGGAAAGTTTTGACATTTGTTCTCGAGTTAGTTCTGCCGACGACAAGTGAATAGAGACTAGAGAGAATAGAGAGTTATTTCATTCACTTTTATGAGCTTTCGTACAGGTGGGGGCGGCCAATTTACACCACCGGCCAAATTACCCCACTCTCGCCTATTTTTGCATCGTATTATTTGAACGTATAAATGAAGCATGTTATTATCCCTACCTGCGAACAGTTTGCCTTTGCCATACGGTCCAGTCTGGAGAAGAATGAAGACAAGCGTGGAAAGGTCTTTAATTCATCCAGCGGATTCCTCGGTACAGCAATAGGCATGCTGCTCAAAGCTGGATTTACTGCTGTTCCACGTACACATATGACCTGAAATGAAGTGGGTGTCAATAACGAGCATATTTACAAATGTTACTAACGTTAAACGCGCCTCTACAGGGAAGGGGTAAACACGACGTCAAAAGTAAAAACCTCTGCATGGCTAAAAAATATTTCGGGGGGCGCTATTCCTGCGCGATTTTCTTTTATGATTGATCGGAATGCGTTTTTGATAGAGAGCTATAAGATTGCATACTTGGTTGTCATTATTGTAACGGGATTTTGTGGCTGACAAAAGCCGAATTTTCGAAGCCAGGTCAGTTATTACCGTTGATCTCAAAGACTATCTCAAGCACATGGAGCTGGACTTAATGTCCTCCCTGCACACTGCACAGCCCGCCCTCGGAGACTGCCTGCCGCTCACCATGACGGCACAGAGGATGACGCTCCTGCTGACAAACATGGCCGCCGGCTGATGTCGGAACGGGACGCCGCCGGTGCTGCTCCGTGGAAGGCCGCCGCGCCTCTGCGGCAGGGTCGGCGACCGTACCGCCAACAGAGCTCTTGTCCGCCGGTTTGACCAGTGTTCTGTGCCGGTCCTAGGGACCACTTAGCCAGCCACCGGCTTAACACCGAAGGAAAAAAAAGATAATAGGGATTTGCGAAAAAGATTTACTATAAATAGTTGCACAAATTTCATATGTCAGATAAATTACGCATTCCGTTTCGTGTTAAGGCGATGTTCATCTCGTGGAGTGACGGATATGAATTCCTACTTCCTTTAGCCGCTCTGCTTTCAGGTTATCTGATTATAAGGTTCCGTTTCTTAACACCGGATGGGAAAGGGCAACGAACTTCTTTTATCTTCTAAAAATAAATGCATTATGTAGGTACTTATGCTAATGCATCCATTAGCTACACGTAAGTACTTAAACGTTAATAGGTTGTTGATTTTTCAGAGACAAGATGTGCTTTTACCGATTTGCTCAACAGGTCACATCAAATTCAACAGGAAGTGTCTAGTTTAACCTAACTTTTATGTAGTATGCAAAAACGCAGAAATGTCCATTCCCAAGCGCAGAACGAGCCGCCACGCACCTCCCACTCCGGCCGACTGGCCCCCGGCTCGCCGGCGCCGTGCTCCCCGGCCAGCGGCCCTGAACCTGAGCCGTGTCAGCTCTAGTTGCCGGTGGCGGCCGACTCAGCCACTGCTGTGGCTGTCTATCATACAGTTCTATCATACAGATACATAACATATAGCAAACAATAATAGACTACATTTATCAAAGTACGTTTACTGAAAATTGCTTTGCTTTTTTATAAAGAATGGCTCATAATGTTTTTTATCTCAGATCAGCATGCTCTTTCCCTATGTAGGATGACACAAACAGAGAATTTCACAAATGCCAGCATTTAGCGGTCCCATTAACCCTCGCCCGCACATGGGGCGTTGGCGTTGGCTGGGGGGGGGGGTTGCCACCCCCCCCCCCAGGTAGTCTTTCGGCTCTGCACTCCACATTGTTAGAGCTAGAAGCCTGATTTTTCGTAAAACTGCTCCTCTATCCTTTTTCGATGTCCACTAAAAATTTCAAGTTTCTGTGGTTTTTGGTTTCGGAGATATGACCTTGTTTCTCAGGTCATGTCATGACCCAAATGACCAATTCTCAACATCTTGCGTTGGCTATGGGCCTTGTTAGCTTTTGACACCTTGATTTCGGCCTTTTTTGCCAGTCTTACCTCCCACCTATCGTGGAACATGTTGTTCGACGATGTACGGAGGTCAAGGTCAGGGTCAAGGTCAACCTAGGTCATCTAAAATAATTGCGTTTTAGGCAAGCTGAATTTACTTTTCTGGAAGTTTTTTGACTGCATTTTTGGTAAAAGCTTCTCAGATCATGATTTCATGTAATATGGACACATAAACAGTCGGTGCACACATCAGCATACACACAGACATACACAGACATACAAAAACATATCATTGATCTTGACCTAACTTGACCTGAAATGACCTCAACAGCAAAAACCTGGTCGGGTAGTGTGAGAAAGAGGTTCTAGCTGGCTTGGCACCAGAAAACGGCATCGTCATCGGTATATGATAAGCAGCACTTGATATCCAACGGCGACCCAAAACAGCAACATTTTTTAGTTTGACCGGACCTGGAAGGTCAATGACTGACCTGAGAAGGCAAAACTGGGTATCATTGGATTCGACTCTTCCCAAAGAATCTTTTTTGTCTTTACAGCGAAGCTCTATCTCCAACAGGAACGAAATGGCGCGGGGGTGGCAACCCCCCCCCCCCCATGTGCGTTCTAGGATGGGAACATGGCATGCGTGGGCGAGGGTTAACCCGCGAGTTGCTGGGGGGGGGGGCGTTAAACGCCCCCACTTTTTTCACCGGGCCATAGCATAAAAACGGCGCGCCGCAGGATTTTTGGTACCTGAAGGGAATTGATTGAAATTTATTGTGACAAAGTTTCAAAAAAATCGGTCGGAAATTTTTTGAGATATCGAGGTTTAAGTGACGTCATGATTTCTGAGTTTTCGCCCAAAAACGGCATATGTTTTTTAAAAAATCATATAAAATCACAGAATAGACATACCGACATGCCGTAAAGGCCATTAGACAGCCAATACCATGATCAATCAAATGGCTATCTTCGATTATTGATTATCGTTGACCTCAACCCGACCTGTGACCTCAAAATTCAATTTAAGTACTCATCTGAAGCATCTCGTCGCGTTCTTTCGTTTGCCGCCTCGTGCGTTTTGCTGCGCCTATTGGTTCTCGAGCTATCGGCTGGGGGCGTTTAACGCCCCCCCCCTCAGCAAAAACGGTGTGTGGCGAAATACCCCAGCAACTGCCGGGTTAAATCTTAACACCCAACTGAATTCAACTGGATTTTACTGCTGCCTCTCAATCGTAGTCCATCCCCGTCAGGAGTGTCATTTAAGGGAGAATGGGGCAAAGCGGCTTCCGACCACCCTAACGCTTGTTACGATGCCGACGCCTGAGTTTTAACCTCAGAATATGTGTCACCTGACCTTGGAATTTTAACCCGGCAGGCGTTGGGCTTCCCGGCCACCTTCCGCGAGTTGGGGGGCATTTTTTGCCCCCCCCCCCCCCGTATCTCTTCCCCCCCCCCGAAAATACTGGACAGATCTGTAAAATTCAAACGGCGTTCGATAGCCCTGTCCAATTTGTCGAGGGAAACCAAATTTCATTGACCTCGGGGTCACCGATGACGTCACAGGTCAGGTCAAAGATAAAATGTTTCACCGTTCACGGGTCTTCTAGGGAATGCGCTATAACACCGAGGAAAAGGCATTTTGTCGAAAATCAGCGATAGGGCGTCAGTTGCCTAGTACATATGCTGATATTAAAGGTCGCTGACAACACCAGGTCAGGTCACAGGTCAGATCACCGAGAGTCAGCACATGAATGTACTAAGGTTATGCGATGCATATTTGATGGCCAATTTTTCATTTCCAACTCAATGGTGTTGGTTATAAGACCATCAGGTACGGTTTAGGTCACTTTCTGGTGGAGGTCAGGTCAAGGTCAGGTCAAAAAAGGTAAAATTTCAAAGTTGATATTTTTGCATAAAATGCAGGTATTGATTCGATGCAGCTCGTTACGGGGAGTCTAATGGTGGTCTTTGCTTTGCGCTACGAGGTCTAGAATTGCTAACAAATGAGTTTGGACATTTGACGTCACCAATTTCGAACAGTTTTTTCGCTATGACTTGGCCAAAAAAAGGTATCGATCTCAAATTTGGTATGTGGATAGAAGGTGGGAGGGACAAGCAGTTAGCACATATATCCCGGTTCTTTCGAAATTCGAAAAACTTTTTTTTTTTGGCTTTTTATGCATAATAAAAAAAAAATCCGAGACAACAGTTTAACCCGCGCCCCGTAGGGGGGGCCGAAACGGCCCCCCTTGTCCTTTTCGGTCGATATCTCCTAAACGGCTGGAGATATCGCCACCAAACTTTCAGGACCCCTCCGGGCATCAATTTTACACATTGTGACCAAAAAAATTTCCAGAGGCTGTGATAGGTTGGCCACAAATGACGTCAGAGTGACGTCATGTTCTGTCATTTTCGACCGAAAAAAGACCTTCGCAAGAAGACCTGTCAGGCCTACAGCTTTGAAGATACAAAAAAATGATCAAGACATAAAAGGTGTAGAATTGACAGGGCTACAAAACTGCTATCTCGGATTTTTGAAATTTTTGAGTTTTGATCCCCAAAAATCAAAAAAGCATTTTTTTGGATATATTAGCCAAAAAATCCAAAAAGTTTTTGAGTTTCGAAAAAACCGGAATATATGTGATAGTACCTACCGTCTTCTATCTACATACCAAATTTCAGATCAATACCTCGTTTTTTGGCCAAGTTATAGCGAAAAAACTGTTCAAAAATGATGACGTCAAATTTTCAAACTTAATTTTTGGCAATTCTAGAACTCGTAGAGCAAAACAAAGACCACCATTAGACTCCCCGTGACGAGCTGCATCGAATGGATACCCATTTTATGCAAAAATATCAACTTTGAAATTTGACCTAATTTGACCTGACCTTGACCTGACCTTCACCAAAACGTGACCTAGGCTGGCCCCAAAGGCTGCCTAACCCACATAATCGCATTTGTCATGTAAAATAGACCATAAAACATGTATCACACGACACATTCATATTGTGACCCCCGGTGACCTGACCTCGCTGTGACCTGACCTGGTATCAGTGACCTCAGATAGCAAAGTATGTGTTTGACGAACAAAATACCATCGATGGTTTTCAATAAATTACCAATTTACTCGATTTCACAGCACATTTCTTGAATTGCCTGTGAACGGTGAAAATCTGACCTTTGACCTGACCTGTGACGTCATCGGATTGACCTAGGTCAATGAAATTTGGCCACAAGGTAGTTCCCGGGTAGGGCTATCAAACGCCGTTTGAATTTTGAAAATCGGCCGGTAACTTTCCGAGATCTTAGGGGGGGCCGAAACGGCCCCCCCCCCTACGGGTGGTAGGGTCCGCCGGTAGCCCTACGGGGCGCGGGTTAATAGTCCTGTTTAATCCTCACCTTTTATGTATCAAAACATTTTCTCTATCTTCAAAGCTCTAGGCCGGACAGCGCTTCCCGCAAAACCTTTTGTTGGTCGAAAATGGCAGAACATGGCGTCATTCTGACGTCATTTGCGGCCAACCTATAATAGCCTCTAAAAATGTTTGGTTACAATGAGTAAAACTGATGCCCAGAGGGGTCCTGAAAGTTTGGTGACGATAGATACAGTCGTTTAGAAGATATCGCCCCCCCCCCTACGGGACGCGGGTTAATGAAATTTGTCCGAATGGGTCTAAATGTACAAAGATGAGCGATTTGTGCTCCAGAACAACGTTTTTGTGAATTGTGTTGTACTACCTTGATTTACCTTGATCCTCTTAAGGCCTGGCTACACTATGCGTTTTCTGCGTGCGTTTTTGCAGGTTTGCGTGTTTTGCGTAATATCGTTCTAGGAAAAAAAGTTATAAACAATATACTTTTCACTTTGGTTATATACAAAAGCTAATATAACTCTTATGTAACTAAAATTTAAGGTGTAAAACATCACAAAAACGTAATATCGTTCTTTTTTTTAGAACGATATCACGCAAAACACGCAAACACGCAAAAAACGCACGAAGAAAACGCATAGTGTAGCCAGGCCTTTAGTGTTTGCAATGTGCAAGAAAGCTAGGGTCGAGTCAATTGTGGTCAACCAAGGTCGAACTACGTTTTTGTTAATAACTTGGCACACAATGAAACTAGAGCTTCAAAAATGATTTCATTGTGTTCCTTGTGATCATTCGAGTCAAAATATATGCAATATGATTTACCTTGATGAGCTTGAACTTAATTAATTACTTTAAGTTCACTTAGATTTTAAGAAACCTTCAATACTCGTATTAAAATTCAAAATTTATATTATCTTTCTTTCAAAAAGTTTTTGACGTTTCGTAAAAAAACCGGAATATATGTAATAGAACACATGCTTTTGATTTATTCCAGCAATTTGTTTCCAGATATCTTCAAAAATAGCTAAGCTATACGCATTATAGCAAAAATTTCACAATTATAAATTTCTCAAATTAATTTTCAGTACGTATTTGTCATCGTACACCAATATAAATAGCACCATCGTGTTCATTTTGTTTAAAAAACGTAACTTTAAAATTTGACTTTTTACCTGAAAGTGGCCTGACCTAAGCTAAATTCAAATCAAAATGACCACGAATGACATAAACGATATCGAGTACGAAATATATGGTCTAAATGGAACATAAAACATGTGTCACGTGACCGATGCATGCTATAAAATTTACGTGACCTGTGATGACCTCAGATCTGACCCTGACCTGAAAATCAAAGCACAATATGATACCTTCAAGGTATCTAAAGCATCTGTTCACGATTGTGTAAACCAAAAATGAGCCTGATCTGACTTGTAGGCAAGACGGCGGCCAGAGCCCGAAATGTGAACAAGCCAAACATCGATAATTTTTACTTTGACCTGACCTGTGACGTCATCGGTGACCTGAAGGTCAATGAAATTAGGTTTCTTTCGACATTTTTGGGGGCTATCAGACGTTGTTTGAATTTTGCCGATCGGCCGAGTAGTTTCGGAGTTAGGAGGGGGGCTATGAATAGCCCCCCTCCCCCCTCCCCCAGTAGGGCGCGTTATACGACTACGCAAACCCCAGTGCGTGGAGCGCGGTTTAACCCTCGCCCTGGCAGGGCATTTTTCATAACACGGCCTGGCAGGGGGGGGGGTCGATGCGACCCCCCCTCGCGATTGGCTCCTATGGCACCTAGAAACACCAAATTTGGTAGGTAGGTGGGCCCCCCGGAGTTCTCGCCCCTGTGCAAATTTGGTTGCTCTAGGTCAATATTTAGGGGGGTTTTGGGGGTATAAATGTAAAAATTTCGCTAAAAACAGGTCAAAAGTTTTTCGCCTATAACTTTTGATCTAATTAAGATAGAGCAAAAAAAAGCACCAGTGAACTCAGCACGTCAAGGCGCGTCGAATGGTATACTTTTTAGCTTGCTTAAGTGTACTTAAAGTTTTTCTTAAATTTTAAGTAAACTTAAATTAATAAATTAAGTTCAAATTAACCAAATTGCATCATATCGCATATCATTCGATTCGGCTGATCACCAGGAACACAATGATATCATTTTTTAAGCTCTAGCGTCATTATGTGCCAAGTTATTGGCAAAAACGTCATTTGACCTCAGTTGACCTCATTTGACCTGACCCATGGATAAGTACACCAAACATAGAAGCACCAAGTGTCCTGCTGTTAAGTACCGTGGTTTCAAAGCACAAAAGTGATAAAACGAAGCGGATATCTCCAGTATTTTCCGAATTTAGTATTTTCCCATAGGCTTAACATTACGACGTAATGACCTCTAACTGACCTCAGGTCAGTGACCTAAAAAAAACCGGACTATATGTTATACAACTCGGTGAACTTAGCACATCCTGAAAGTTTGAAGGAAATCAGTCAAAAACTGTGAGTTGGACAGGTGCATGAAGAAAATTGAAATTTGACCATGACCTTGTACCGGTTTTTCTGACCTGGTGACCTGACCCAAGGTCACCCGGACCTGAAATTTTCAGGTCATACGTAAAAAGGTTGCCCCATAGGCTGTGCCAAATTTGGCGGCGCTGCGCGCCGCCGTTTTTACGCTATCTTCGAAAAACCTTAGGGGGGGGTCGCATCGACCCCCCCCCCCTGCCAGGGCGAGGGTTAATGCATGGGACAATGCACCTGCATAATGTCTGACCTCAGCATCCGGCTATAAAGATCTTATGCCGTCGGCGTTAAGCCGGCGGCTGGCTAAGTGGTCCCTATGACCGCACAGACCACTGGTCAAACCGGCGGACAAGAGCTCTGTTGGCGGTACGGTCGCCGACCCTGCCACAGAAGCGCGGCGGCCTTCCACGGAGCAGCACCGGCGGCGTCCCGTTCCGCCATCAGCCGGCGGTCATGTTTGTCAGCAGGAGCGTCATCCTCTGTGCCGTCATGGTGAGCGGCAGGCAGTCTCCGAGGGCGGGCTGTGCAGGGATGATTTATCCCGCGCCCTGCTGAGGGGTGGGGGGTGTTTGAACACCCCCCTGTGGTTTTTCGCGAATATCTCAAAAACGGTGGCGCGTTTTTTGGTACATCTTATCATAAATCAATTTTACACATGGTGTGAAAATTTCAGATCAAGGTCATTCAAGGTCAGGTCACCAGGTCACTTGAAGTGACCTCACCTTATAAAAGTTTCGATGTCTGCCAACTACACCGAGTCACCGATCGCTTTGAAACTTTCGTCGATTGCTAAGAGAAATAGCATGTACCTGTATCAAGTTGTGATAAACAGCTATGAGATTCGGGACGAGACTGTATTTACTGAATGCATCATAAGTAAGATTATTTTAGTATCACGAGCTATTTCGTGTTTCACACTATTTCGTGAGGCTCCGCCCGGAGGGCGGATCCACGATACATCTCCCTCCTTTGGCGAGACGGACGTCACGGTCCGAAGCATCTTCCGCTGCGGGTCACTCTGGGAGAGGACGATTTCACCTCCCCATGACCATCTGAAGTCGTTGTCCTGTTGTCGGCTCTGCTCCGAGTGTAAGACCGCCTTTCGTTCGGAGGTCTGGACTCTTTGGTCTGGATGCTTCTCGGCGGAGTGAGCGCCCTTTGTGCTGGAACCTTCAGGTCACGACGCGACGGATGAGACTGCAGCAGAGCTGGTAGGTGTGCCGGGCTCATCGATCTTGTTGCAGCGCGGGCTGGTGCTGGAGGCGGAGAGCGCTGGTGCTTGGGCTCTTCATGCTCACAGAGCTTTAGATGACAACGATTGCGTCGGTAAGTAGCTCCTCCGGTCTGTACTATGTAGCTTCTTGGGCCTGCTTTCTTGAGAACCTTCGCTGACGCCGACCAGTCTGATTCTTTGTCGGTCTTCATGCGAACATTGTAACCAGGCTTGAGATCTGGAAGTAGTCTAACCCCATTCCGCTGGTTGAAGTACTTTTCCATCTTCCTCTTCCCCTCTTCATCCTTCTCACGAGCTGCTTGATACTCATGTTGCTCGGTTTGTGCCACCGGAAGTCTAGTTTGCAGGTTGCGTCCCATGAGCAGTTTTGCAGGCGAACAGCCAGTAGCCTCTATGGGGGTAGCTCTATAGTTTAGGAGAGCCAAGTGCCAGTCTTTTTGCTTTAGGATCCACTTAGCGGTGCGTACCGCACGTTCAGCAGCTCCGTTGGACGACGGGTGGTGTGGATCAGTCACACGATGTTGAAAACCGTAGGACTTCCTGAACTCCTCGAATGCCGCAGAAGTAAACTGTGTACCTCCGTCGGTTGTCAGAAGATCTGGAATCCCGTGCTGACTAAACAGTGTTTTTAGACACGCTATCACGCCTGTGCTGCATACATTGGTAAGGCGCTGGATCTCCAAATATCTGCTGAAGATGTCGATGGTTACCAGCCAGATGGAACCACCAGAATGGCATATGTCTGTTGCCACGTGGGACCACGGCTTCTCTGGAACTGGTGTGGAGATGAGCGGCTCTTTGCGCTGTTTGGGTGAGTTGATTTGGCAGAAGGAGCACTGCGTCACATAGATCTTCAGATCATTGCTGATTTCGGGCCACCAGACAGATTGTTCTGCTCTTTCTCTTCAGACTTATGCAGTCCAAAGTGTCCATCGTCATGCAGACGTCGCAGCATCTCTTTCTGAAGCGTTGGCGGAATCACGAGACGCCTGCCGTGCATCAGAAGCTTTCCGAATGTGGTGTAGATAACAGTGACCTGTCCTCTTGCAGCAAAGTATTCATTAAGACTATGGTGCTTCAGTCCTTCCTTCCAGCCGCTGAGTGTTTGTCTCACTACTTGTTGGAGTACGCTGTCTGCTGCTTGGGCTTCGCTGATTTCTTTCAGACGCTGCTGGGTGGCTGGAAGCGCTTCGTATATCATTGCACAGTACTGGTGGACCTCGCTGACCATGACGGAGCTTGTTTCGTCCTCCTTGGTGCGATCTGGGAATCTTGAAAGAAAATCCGGAAGAACATGCTGTTTTCCTGGGACGTAGCTGGCGCGGGCATTGTACGTCATCAGTCGCATCAGGAGGCGCTGGCATCGGAGAGGTGCCTCTACCAGATTCCTCGAGTTGATTAGAGGAATCAGAGGCTTGTGGTCAAGCTGAAGCTCAAACTCAGGCAAACCCGCCAGAAACATGTGCATTTTCTCGCAAGTCCAGGTGGCCGCCAGAAGCTCTTTTTCTATCTGCGCCCATTTTCTCTCTGTTTCTGTCATCGTTCTGCTGCAGTATGCTACTGGCTTGAGCTCCTTACCATGTCTTTGTAGTATACAGCCTCCCAAACCATAGCTGCTGGCATCGGCACTGACAACGGTTGCTTTTGTCGGGTCATAGAAGGCCAGCACGGGTGCTGATGTCAGCAGATGCTTCACTCTGTCCAGTGCATCCTGCTGTGCCGCTGTCCACATCCAAGCAGTATCTTTCTTTAGCAGATCATAGAGCGGTCGAAGGTTTTCTTGGATGTTAGGCACGAATCTGCCTAGATAGTTGATCATGCCGAGGAGCGACCGCAGCTCTTCAATGTTTCTGGGAGCCGGGAGGTTTGTGATCGCTTCTACCTTCTCTTCGTCGGGCTGGATGCCGTGCTTGCTGATCCGGAGACCCAGGAACTTGATTTCTTCTTGCTTCAGCTGGCACTTCTTCTTGTTTAATCTCAGTCCTGACTCTTCGATTCTCTTCAGGACATCTTGCAGACGGACGTCGTGTGTGCTGTCATCGCCGTAGCATACGATGTCGTCCATGTAGCACAGGACGCCAGGTAGGTCTTTCAGAATCTCATGCATTTTCCGCTGGAAGCATTCGGGCCCCAGGCTTATGCCCATTGGCAGTCTAGTGAAGGCCTTGCGTCCGAAAGGAGTGATAAAGGTGGTGAGCAGTGAGCTTTCAGGGTCAAGCGGCAGTTGAAAGAAGCCTGAGGAGGCATCCAGTTTTGAAAACATAGTCGCGCCGTTGAACTTTGAAGTGAGATCTTCCAGTGTTGGAATTGGGTACACTTCTCTTTTGATGGCTTGATTCAGTTTCTTGTAGTCAACGGTGATCCTCACTCTGTCATCGGCTTTTTGAACCGGTACCATAGGCGCGCACCAGTCAGTGGGCTCGGTCACTGTCTCCACGATGCCTTGCTGTTCCATGCGCTCCAATTCTCGCCTGACTCCCTCTAGCAGAGGAATTGGAATTTTCCGTGCTGTATTCACAGCGCTAGGCACTGCGCCTTCAGCGAGCTTTATGGTGATTGGAGTAGTCTTCATCAGCCCCGTTTCTCCAAACACGCCTTCACTGATCTTGCTGACTTCGCCAGTGAACTGCAGTACTGCCAGCCGGGAGCTAGCCGAGCGTGACAGTAGATTTTCTGAGCATGTTTTCACAACATAGAACACCTCAGAGTGGAGAACTTTGCCTCTGTAGTGTACGCGAGCTTTCACTTTGCCTTCAACGTCAAGGATTCTGCTGACACTTCTTAAAGTGTTCTTGGCAGGCTGCAGCTGTGGAAGGCCAAGTCTCACGTAGTCGTTCCAGCTAAGGATGCTTACATCTGCACCAGAGTCGACTTTAAACTTAACTTTCTGCTTGTTCATGTCCGCTAGGATGGTCCAATGTGGGATGACATCTTCGTCAACATCCCCGACGAAAGAATATTCATCAGTTTCTTCAGCCTGCACGGATGGAGATGGCCATTCGCAGTTCACCTCTCGAGCTGATATACGAGAGAGGCACACGGCAGCGAAGTGGTCCCGTTTTCCGCATTTGTTGCAAGTTTTGCCTTTCGCGGGACATTCTCGGGGGCGAGCGTGGCGGTCATAGCCACAGTACTTGCATGCACCTTGTCCTCTGGTCTGCTGACCTCCGCCAGAAAATCTTCTGCTGCCACTGTGCTCATAGCGCTCGACTTCCGCTTGGGGGCGCCTGCACTGCTGAGATGGTACCGATGGCGGCCTGTGCACATCGATACGATCAACATTCTGCTGTGCTTCTTGTCCATTGCTCACTATGTCCATGTTACGCATCATTGTCACGACCTTATCCAGGGTTATGTCTTCTTCCATGGCTCGGAGCTGAATTTTCATGGATAAGTCTTTGTTTTTCATGCCAGCGATGAGCCTGTCCCGGATTCGTTCTTGCTTGTTTTCAAAGTTGCAGTGCTCGGCCAGAGCAAACAAGCTGCGCATGAAACATTCACTGCTTTCATTAGCTGCTTGGCATCTTTTTTTCAAACGCCTGGCGCTCGGCTATGAAGTTGCGTTTAGGGATGAAATAATCATTGAACTTGTCTACTAGTATGTTGTAGTTATTTGCCTCCTCTGCCGGCAAGCTCAGTGTATGAACGACGTGTTCTGCTTGTGGTCCCATTGCGTAGATCAGGGCGGCGACTTGAATGTCATCTTCATCCTTGTGGAGGCCAGATGCCAGCCGATAGCGCTGAAATCTATCTCTCCACGCTGGCCATCGCTCTGGCGTCGTGAAGTCAAATTCATCTGGAGGACGGAATACTCCTGGCATGCCGCAAAGCTTAGTGTTAAACTATTCGACACTTGAAAGCAGCGTTCAGTGATAAGTCAAAGTTTACATTCGTTTGTCAACTAATCTTTAAATCAGAGTGCGCTTGTCTAAAATATGCACATGCAATTCAAAAATATGTTAGTACCTTAACTTCTCGCTTACTTTATATCACCAGCTAATCATTAAACAAAACTATGGCTAAATTATTATTTTTATATAAAACGAAATCCTGCCGGCTGCGCCATGTATCAAGTTGTGATAAACAGCTATGAGATTCGGGACGAGACTGTATTTACTGAATGCATCATAAGTAAGATTATTTTAGTATCACGAGCTATTTCGTGTTTCACACTATTTCGTGAGGCTCCGCCCGGAGGGCGGATCCACGATACAGTACCAAATGTACCTATATCTCAGAATTTTGATATCGATAACTTAAGGTCAGGTCAATTTTGCGACCTCCCCATTACCTACCTATAAGTCAATGGGAGAAAGCTGAAACGCGCCACTTTTAGACGAAAGCCATTACCTATAAACACTTCCAAGCCCTGAGTTACAAGTAACTTAAACACACTGAGCGCGGCGCATTTGCAGGACGTGGAAATCCAGGACCCCCAGTCGGGCGCGGGTTAAATCCCGGGTCCATGTGCTTGACGTTACTATAGGCATACCTACTTGAGATTATTTTCAGCGTTAAAATAAAAGTTAACCCTCGCCGGACCTATTGGTTTTCTACATACGCGCCGGCCGAGAGGGGGGCGGGTACGACCCCCCTCGCCGTTTCGCCCCTGGTGGAGCTAGCGCGTCGCGGAAAAAACGAGCGTGTGCGCCGTTACGAGACGCAGAGATTGGTACCCGATTTTAAGGTCCTAGGTCAACCGGTGACCTCTGAGGTCAGGTCAAGTGCCCCAAGGTACAGTTTAGTTTTTGATGAATAACTTCGCAAAAAACGGCCGCAGAGCCGCGATTTTGGCAGCATCGTGTTCGCCTCGATCAGGTGCGTCGAATGATATACTTTTTGTTCGGGTCAGGTCAACTTAGGGTGTTGACCTCAAGTCAAGGTCAGGTCAGCATCCCCAGGTCACGAAGTTGGTCGAACGAGGTCATGTCGCATATCATTCGATTCGGCAGGTCTTCCTGAGACCATTGGTGGCTTTCCCGACTCGCTAGCTCAATTTGATCGGGAGTTATTGACGAAAAACTAATATGACCTTGATGACGTCATAAATGACGTCACGCAAGGTCAACATTGCAAAAGTGACGCATCTAACCTTGCAAGGAGTGTATCAAATCACGATTATTTGTGCTTGAGATAGTTGGAGATCGTTCCCGGCGCCAGAATAGCAGTTTTCATTTTTCCCCGTTGACTTACAACCTAATGATGAGGTCACGAAAATGACCTTGACCTCATATGACCTTAAGGAAAAAAATCCGAGATATACAAGCTGTGAGACTCATAATGGATAGTAGATCCTGCAAGTTTCATTTCCCTGTGACATCTCCTCTGGCAGTGAGGACGTTGCGAAGTTGCGACATCTGAAGACCGTGCAGAGGTTCACTTATGACGTCATAGGTCAGTGACCTGACCTGACCCAAAAATGCGGTTGATGTCAAAAGATCCGGCTTGAATCAAAGGTCAGGTTTGCCAGGTTTCAGCTCTCTATCGCCAGCGTGTTCGGAGCTATCGCGAAAAAAACCCTATGGGGGGGGGGGGCGGCACCCGCCCCCCCCCCTCGGCCGGCGAGGGTTTTAACCCTTACTTATTGTACACTCATATGCCACCAGTGTTCATTTACCGCGGATTTGCTTTGTCTGCATCAAATTGTCCACAGAGAAAAATCGTGCTGAACTTCTGACGTTGAGTATGGGGTAAGACGGGCAACTATGAATCCAATGGGTCTGTAGGATAATTGTGAAAATAGTTTTGTTGCTGTAGGAAAAAAGAAGCATTGCTAATAAGAATATGTTCGATTCCGATACTCACAGACATGCTAGCAATATTCCTTCTTCGCAGTTTATTCTCGAATAATGAATGTTAAAAACGGATCTACATGTCTTCTGAACTAGGGCCTATATATGAGCATACGCCTTCTGCACGAATCTCGTATACCTACCTACTGCCATTTCCGAAGAACTTGAGACCAACGAGCGACTCTAGGTATCAATTCGGCTAATCTCGGGCATTTTTTGCGAGCTATGCTGGTCGGTGAAAGAAGCTGGCCGTCTTGCCCTACCCATGTGACCGTCTTACCCCATGGGGTGGGGTAAGACGGGTTTTTGCAAGGTTTTGCAAAAATAGCTGCAGTTTATTTGTTGAATCAGGTCTAAGTCTCATCTTCTGGCAAATGGAAGTAAAATGTCTAAAAAAATGTTTTCACTCAGTTTTCCGTCTCTATGATGTTTCTAACCGGCCGAAAATTGCTCCAAAGTTAAGGTGCCCGTCTTACCCCACTTTCCCCTAGCCCTCGCCGGCATGCAGGCCGCAGGGGGAGGGGGTTGATGCAACCCCCTCTAAGGTTGTTCGCAAATAACTCGCGTAAAAAGCGGCCGATCGCGACGAAACTTTCAGTACCCTCGCACTGATCAATTTTACACTTACCCTGCAAGTTTCATGACCCTAAACCAAATGACCTTTGACCTGTGACCTCTTTTCCGAGACCATGTTTGGCCGGAATCGCGATTCGGCGTATGTCGGCTCGCATTAGCCGCGCGTTTGCAAGCTTTTCGTGGTTTCAAACGTTCAAACATGTGATTTGATGTTGCTCCCATAGGTACATAAGGGTGGGTGTCAAGGTCACCTGAAGGTCGGGTCAGGTCATTGACCTTTGGTGACCTCGGGTGACCTCTGTTCACTTTTTCGAGTTTTACAGGTTTCTAGGCCAGTTTTTGGAGCTGCATTCGAATTTAGCAATCGTTTGAACATTTACGAAGTAGTTTTGGTGCCTTCGTAACATGTTACGAAGCTGTCAGAGGCGGTTGACACGTATTACGAATACCAGTCACAACCCCTACCGGTTGACCTGACCTGACCTGACCCGACCTGGTCTAAATGCTTGAAGACATCATCTCTGATCTGATCAAAACTAACACGATATTCGTGATCAGCACCCCGGAAAACCACATACCAGCCACACTTTACGACTTTCTAACAGGTCCCGATTTTCCCGGTTTTCGGGTCATTGACCTGACCTGGAAGGTCACCCGATGACCTAGGACCTTAAAATTGGGTATCATCGGCTTCCGCTCGTGATGGGCAACACGCTCGTTTTTTCCGCGAAGCTCTAGCTCGATCAGGGGCCAAACGCGAAGGGGGTCGTACCAACCAACCCCCCCCCCCCCCTTGTGCCGTCGAAGAACGCAAAATGGCCTGTGCCGGCGAGGGTCTGGGCTAGTGTCACTGTGTTCTGACCCCACATCGTCCTCCTGATCCTCAGCTGGCTGGAGAGGGTCGTGACCTCTCAGTGTCGGCTGGACCAGCGCCTCTGACTCCCTCCGAGGGTGACCCAACCGGGGTCATGGCTGCCCCGCTGCCGCACAACTCTCGCTCCGGGTGGCACTCGGCAAACGACGTCTGCACTGACCACCTGCTGACGCTCAAAACCGAGGGCGAGCTCGCCAAGACGGCCGTCCTGCAGAGACTCTCCGAGCTTCAGCGTGCTATAGGCCGTGTTGGAGACGAGCTGGGGGACCTCAGACATGCCGTCGAGCAACTGGCTCAGTCAATCATCACGGCAGTGGAGAACGGGAAGGAAGATATCCTGACAGAGCTTGGATACCTGAGGTCGGACTACACTCGACTGGCCCGCACACTGGAGCTCTTACAAAGCGGAACCGATGACTCCCTGCGGGACATCAGCTCTCGCTTGGACATGCTCGCGAACGCGCCCCAGCCAAGACCATCGTGTCCTGCCGGCTCTACGCAAAGACCGGATGGACAATGTTACACATGTCCGGCACTTGGCGTCCTCCACACCGACAACAACTGCTACTTCTTGTCTGCCGCCCCTGACCCGCATCGGAGGGCGGAAGAGCGCTGCAGCGAAGGAGGCCTTGGTCATCTGGCCACTATGACTCCAGCGAACAGGGAATTCCTGTATCTGCTCGTTGGCAACCAAGTCAATAGCGACACGGCCTGGATCGGCCTGTCTCGGCCGATGGGTTCAGCCGAGTGGGTCTGGAACGACGGTTCGCCGTACGGACCCTTCACTGACTGGCCCAATGGCCAGGAGCCGGCCCCGAGCCCATTTGATCAGTGCGTCAGTGCGCGTACATTTCAGACAGATAGATGGTTCACGTCGGCATGTACTGACCGATACCCTTATATTTGTCAGGTCGCAGCCACCTCTACGGCAGCTGAACCATGATGAGACGCCACCCGCCACCTAGGACATAAGAACAAAGGAACTATTTCAAGTGACAGACATTTAACATTATCTGTGTAATGTGTATGTTATTCATGCCTATGTAACCTTGGCAGGAATAAACGGTGGTTTCTGGATGGTCTTTTACTGGAGCATCATGCTTTGCCTGGGGTTAAATTAACTATGCTTCCTGTTCTGTTCAGCGGTTCAGTGGAAACTGTTCAGTGGGAGTTGATACGGTTGTTCATTGTGGAATTGATCTGAAATAGGTGAGCTATCTGAAAAAAACGAATAGACCTTCGAATTTCCGTTGACCAGTTTTCCGCATCGCTTCTGACCAACTGCTGCATCTCCCGCATTTCCGCACTTAGGTAGGTAGGTATACCCAACAGGCCCTGGCCTCGCTCACATATAGGAGGAATGAGTCGGACTGACACCCTGATCCAAGCGACTTTCTGACGCAGGTATATTGGTGTATCGCACATCTCGCTCGCAGTCGGTCACACGGCTCAGTGGGCGCTCACGGTACCGCACATACCGCACCGAACCAGCACTGTACACATTGTGAGCGACTCGGTACGGTGCACATCGTGCTCGATCAGTGCCAGTACGGTACATATCGTTCTCGAATCAGCACGGCACACGCACGATACCAGCCGACTTTGGGCGGAGTTGGCGTTCAACGATATTGCAGGCACAAACCCGGACAGACTCGGCCCACCAATGTGGTGACGTCATCTGAGACGTGCACCCCGGCAGAGTGTACCGTGGCGCGCGGGAGCACCGCGGCAGAGGCTATCAGCACAGTCCGGGGATAGGCACGGCGAGCACAGCGCCGGCAGCACGGCCGGGCCCAACGCCCGGCAAAACGCTGCCCAAATACTCAAAAATAAGACGCCCCAACTGCGATCGGCAACTGAAAAGGCACAGCGCCTCTCGAAGTCACTATACAACTTAAACCGCCTCTTTAGGCGTGTGGTATGATTAAACCTTCAACAAAGTCAAACGTGGCGGCCGCCGCACTCACACACTCCACAGTAATAAAACGGTAGCCACGACCAGCACTCACACACGGCGCCCCGTGGCGCCATCTCTGGACGGCAGCCGACACTCGAGCTTCGCCAGCCGGGCGCTAGGCTCCGTAACACACACCGTCGCCGCGGCGGGAGGCGCCCGTTCCACCGCTCCGCGCGCGCCTTTCACTGCTCTCACCGGGTCTTCTCTCACAGTTCTCACACACCGTGTCCTCACAGCGCGCGCCAGGCGTGCCGGGCAGCCGCGCACCCCTCCCGCACCGCCGGCCGCCGGTCGCGCGCGGCACCCTCTCAGTTTGTACTCGCCGCTCGGCCGCCCCCGGGACGCCGCTACACAGCGTCCGAAGCCGCCGGCAGCTCCAGGATACGCGCGATGAACGTGTCCATGCCCTCGGGCATGTCGGAGGCGCCGGCGATGAAGCCGTGTTGGAGCAGGGTCGGGTAGTTGGGTCGCTCCCGGTAGTCCTTCTGCAGGCTGAAACACAGGGACCGGACTCGTCAGAGGGGTGGAAACTGGAGAGGCAGACTGAAGTATAGACCAGTGCGAGTCACATAAGACCGAGGAACGTCAGACCACAGACGGAGAGAAAGAAATCATGAGACATGAGCTTGATACTGCGTCCAAAGTCGCAGTGGAATATTCTATCTCCATTTATTCGTTTAAATCATTACCTATAATGACAGCGTCATGCTCCAAGCACGACCACTCATTAATCAGTTACAAAACCCCAAATAGCTGGCTCACCAGAGCGAGACAAACTCCTCGAAGTGGACGGAGAAGTTGAATCCCTCCTTGGGGAGGCGCGGCGCCGGGTCGGCCACCACCTGCTTCAGCTGCTCGAACGGGGTGCCCCAGATTCGGTATGGGAACTTGCCTGTGGGCGGGGAGCGGGTCAGGTCAGGTCAGGTCAGGTCACGTCGGGTCAGCTAAGCAGAATGCCTGCAGATCGTCTTAGCAAGCTATGGCATGGTTCACCAAAACAAAAGGGGATAGAAAACACATCACAGAATACGTGACATCAATGCGAGTGGACCGGCGGCCAGAAGATGCGACCCGACCAGCCGCTGCCTCGCTTCAGTATATTTTACGATCAAAGTGGAGCGAAGCAATCATAGTGTGTTACCTTAACAACTATGACCAGCAGTTACCGTAACACAATGTGTCCTCGCATTAATAAAAACGACTCCTTAAAATCAGAACTCCAAGACACTATGTGAATAGGTAAACCGACAAGGTACCAGATATTCAATGACAATGTTGCCCTGATAGAGTTTTGTGTATTTAGTATAGTTTGCACTTAGCATAGAGTATACAGTTATTCCATTAGACTGACCAGTGGCGATTTCGATCATGGAGATGCCCAGGCTCCAGACGTCGGAGCGAATGTCGTAACTCTTGTCGCCCATCGGGTTAATTCGCTCCGGAGCCATGTACGGCTTACACCTGTCGGGAGGAAAAAAAACGGTATGGTATTGTGCGGTGAAAACACGTGAAGTCAAAATAAACATCACGTTAAAGGTAGTGTGCCACCTTTGAAAGATTTCCCATTTTATTTTTCCTAGGATAAGAAGCTTCTGTTTTTACCTAATATCGCAAAAAAAAATCAAAAATGGGCCTGAAATAGTGCCTTTTTCGCCTAAAAGTTTTTCGGTTTTTAGATATGTATAACAACTGTAGTGGGCTCACCTGCAAACAGGCGTCGGGCAACAATCGCGAATGCGGCGCACTTGTGACAATAAGCAAAGGTCATTATAGTGTTACGACCATACGACGTACGGGAATGAGTTATCAGCTGTCTAATCGTAGACAACACAATGTCGAGCCTTAAACTGTAAGCCCGTATTGGTATTGTTTCTTTTATTTGGCTGTCGAACATTATTTATGGTTTGAAATATGATTTTATGTAAAATAATTGATATGAAAAAGCCGTCTTATAAGTTATGACCCCATTTCACCACACGCAAGTGGCAGAAATGACAATGATCAGCTGACGCATTTTTCTTGGCCGAAGTCAGAGCGCGCGGCCCGACGCACCACGCGTATTTGGAAATTCCGACCTCGACGAGCATCAGAAGCCACCTAACAGGCGTGTTCGAAACCGCAGGAGATGATGATGAACGGGTTTATCGAAACTTGATTGGATGAGCATATCGGTAATAGCGATTTCAGTGTGTGCATTTATTGTTCATAGTGGTGTGAAATGTGGTTGGGGTACGACCGACAACCCGTCGGGGCGAATTTCGCACTGGGGTACTCAAAATTTGAAGAATTTAAGACGTTTCCATGAGTTTTGAAGGTATGGATAAGTTCTAAAAATCCGGTTCTCCCTATCTGGGCCATTAACTCCATACGGTCCAGGAAAGCTGGCACACTACCTTTAAGTTGTTCAACTTAACCAGGGGAGCATACATGTCTGGAGGTGAACGGCTCACATAGGTTAATGTTTACCAGGGCCGTGTGATTGATGCAAGGAAACTGATAAAGAAAAGCCATTGTGCAGCGCTACAACAAATACACACAAGTCGTTACGAAAAGAAAAATAAAAGCCACACATCTCATCCTTTAGCGACAAAGCAAAGGAACGAGCAATGATTTACCAAAACCCGTCGGGAGAGAACCAAAAGCTACTCTCTACTTCCCGTTTCATTCCAGTCATCCCAACCGCTAAACTCAACATTGCCAAACGATGCCCCCACCAAGCTTCTCTAGTCTCTACCCTTCCAAGACTACCATCCTCCCCTCCTCTCCATCCCACTCTCACCCGGCGTCGATCGTTTTGGCCACGGAGTCGACCAGGTAGCCCGAGATGCCGAAGTCGCACAATTTGACGCGTCCCTGACGGTCACAGAGTGTGTTGGACGGCTTGACGTCGCGGTGTATGACCTTCAGCTGGGTGTGTAGGTAGTGGAGAGCCGACACCACCTGAGGGGGGGGGGGGGGGCAAATTCAGGTCAGTAGGCAGGGTCGAAACTACCTCGCTAAGAGACTGGGACATGAGAACATAATACATTCTTATTATTCGGCAATCAATTATAGCCCAGTTAGCCCAGCGCTAGCTGGGCCCAAAGACAACATGAAGCGTTTAAACAACCCGATTTTAGCAGTCAACCACTGGAATCAATATCTGCATTACTCGTGGCGTGCGACACTTTAATCCAAGCGGTGTCCAAAGAGCACTTGCTGTGAAACTTTTAGCCTTTTTTATTATGTCCCATGGACAGCTTATTGCCGACTTTATGGAATCTCACCGAATAGGCGACGCGGGCCAGGATCGGCTCAGGGATTGTCTCGTTGTGCGCAAACACCTTCTGATAAAACTTGTCGAGGCTGATGTCCATCACTTCCATACAAATCCACACGTCACCCTCCTGGAAATACAGATCCACTCGTCACACACAGATCCAAACTGATGTCCATTACCTCCATACAAATCCACACGTCACCCTTCTGGAAATACAGATCCACAAGTTAATCCCCTGAAAGATATCCACGACACTTATCCCTTAAGGCCGCCCCACACTGGAACTCGCATGCGGGTTGCGAGTTTGCGGGTTTTGAGTTTGAGGGCATAATACTAATTCATAGAGTGATTAGGCCGCTCCCTTATGGTAACTTCATGTATGCAGTGAAACCGGTACACCTTCAGAAACTTACATGCATTCGCAATACCAGCGCAAGGAGCCGAAATTCGACTCCAACGAAAAACTCGCAAACCTCGCAGAACTCGCAGACCTCGCAGCGAGGAAAATCGAAAGTTGACTCAAAATCAACTTTTGGAATGCGATGCAAGGTCACTCGCAAGCTAAAAACATGCAGACTCGCTTGTTGATGGTAGTGTGGGTCACTCAGCCTAGATTGTATTATTTGATTTTAAAGAAACCCGAAAACCCAAAAACTCGCAACCCGCATGCGAGATCCAGTGTGGGGCGGCCATTATGGACGTGCAAGGCTGATACACTAAATCGACTAACCACGAAAGCCAGTCACCACGAAAGGAACGTAGAAATCCTCTAAACAACAACTGCAGACGCGTGTAAAGCGTTCCTCAAACCCACAGTTCGGACACGTTTCCGTCGCACTTACCTGGAAGAGTGCGCCGTAGAACTGAACAGTGTAGTCGCAGTCCAGGGTGCGCATAGAGATGTCCAGGTCCATCAGGGTGCGTTTGGTCTCATCCGAATTCAGCGTGGCGGGAATGCGCTGTGGAAACGGTCAGAAATGGTCAGTCAGCGGTCGATAAAAGTGGCTATTGTTGATTAAAGAACAGAATATAAAGACGGTTAGAGGTCGGTCAGAGACGGTCGAGGTTGTCGGAGTTGATTTCGGTTAGACGGTCATAGGTCGGCTGGAGGCGGTAAGAGGACAGAGGAAGGTTAAAGACGGTCAGAGTCGATTAAAGACGGTCAAGGATCGGAAAGACGGTGCGAGGCTGGTAAGAAACGGTCAGATGTCGGTCAAAGATTGGCAAGACAGTCACTGTCACAGTCTGAGCTATGGCAGCGCCTGTGAGATAGGTTCACACAAAGCCATAGTTCGGACTGGAGTGGACATCATCACAGCCGCTTGGAAGCCAGAAGCAAAAACCTACTGTTGGGGAGGCAGCAGTAGCGGGGAGGGGCAGTCTTATCCATTCCCTTCCTCAATAGAACACGACTAGCGTTGAGCGATGTGCGAGATATCCCATAGATGTGTGCAAATTATTCAGGAGGCGTGGTAGACAGAACTGTGGCTGCCATTGTGATTGTCTGTAGCTTCGTGATTACCCATCTCCTTTGAGGAGCTCGGGTCGCCAGCTATCCTGAGTGTGAAAACAATCAGGTGAGAAGAAAAAAGCCCTGTCGAATCCCGTAAAAACTTTCACTTTACGCAGATCATTGGCACTGTTTCGTTGAATACCAAGATAACGCGCGTGTCATCGGATGAACAGCTCCGTACCCCACGAGTGTCAGTGACAAACCCGCCAACTCTGCCAGGTCCCGCAACAAGCACTCGGAAACAGTCGCGAATTTCCTTGAACACAATCACCGAAATACTTATGCACATCGGTGAGCTCAGGAATGCCCGGGGAAAGCACGCTTCAGTGCGTCGCCGTAGCCGTTTCACAACGGTTTACTGATATTAACGCCTAGATGGCTAGCGATGATACACAAAAACGAGCGTGGACTTTCCCACTGTGTAACAGAATACCGCAAGCTAATGGTCGAAACTTTGAAACAAAAAGCCTCCTGCATGGTTCTTGAGTAACTCAACATACAAAGCTTTAGGTAACGTACTTGAGGCTCCTACACATTGTAATATAGGAGGAAGACAATGAAAAACAAGTAACTTACCTCTTTTCATTCACTTGGGAGTTGGGAGGCGTAGAAAGCTGACAGAAGGAAAGGACGGGAATGTCTCATCTGAATGCATCTCCTCTGTCTGGTAGGAATCGAAGCGCGGAGGTCCCTGTCGGTGATGATTCGGTACAGGACTCAGGTTCGTCAGAGGATCCCAGGGGTCTGGAAACAAACGGGACCAGTGTGTGACATATTTTCAGGATGGGAAGTTCGGACGAAAATTCTCTCTCTGGTTTGGGAGTTATAAAAAAACACTGAAAGCGCATATTAAAACACAACCCGTTGAGTCCATGGGATAACAAAAAACACGATCACACCTCTCAATGATCCAACAACACATCGCCCTTTCACCTCGACATTTCACAATCAGTATTACCTTCCCTACCAAAAGCTGGTGAAGATGGACCGAAAGTAACCACGTCACATTGAAAGTTAATACTGGCCGGTGGTGAGTTAGACTTTGGGGAGCCCGCTTATGGAGGCAATCGACGTCCAGTTGTTTATTGGTTATTTACCGAGATCATCGACGGGAGTTTCCAACGGCAGACGAAGTACATATATGACATCACCGCGCCCTTCTTCATCCCATTTCCTCGCCTTCCTGGCCACAGATTGCTGGTGGGCCCATGGTGATCAATGAAACTGTTACCGTCATGACAGCTAACTCCAAACCTCCGACCGGCAACCCATCTTCCTACCTAGGCGTTGAAAGCTGACACCTACCACCCATCTTTCCCCATCTCCCTCTTACCTTGACGGCCATCACGGTGCTGGTGGGCCGGTGGCGCATCCTGTCCACGGTGCCGTACGCGCCGCGGCCCAGGTTCTCCAGCACGTCCATATCCGCGGCCTGCACGTCCAGCGTCTCAGTGCCGATGCGCAGCGTGGTGCGCACGTCCAGGTTGCGCGGCGGCGTCCTGCGTCAGAGCGCGGGAGGGAGGTTTGTGATTGTTGTGAGAAATATACCCTGGTTAGTAGACACACTATAGTGGCCAGTGGGATTGATGAGGAGTGGATGATATGCTGCAGCAGCGAGCGATCGACGAAAAAAGGGACTGAGTGGAATATTGAAGAAAATTCCATGGAAAAAGCCTTCAATAGAGGCTATTTTGTTCTAAATAAACCATTTCTTGGCCAAATCCTTTATAATTGCCATTTGTGTGTACAAAAATCGTACACTTCTGATGTTCCTGAAAAGGAGCTTGAGTTTTACTCATAAGATAGTTAGTTAGTAGATAAAACACTATCATAAGGAGCCATAGAGAATAGCATATAAACTACAACCTAGCTGCTGACCAGATGTAACATCTATTTCACTTCTAGACAAGCCAAGCATACTAATTCAATTTGTGATGTGATGGCAGAAGACATTTGAATGTGACTGTTGCGTTCAGTAATGCACTGTCAAGAGGTATCATTCAACCTATAATTCTGTTTTATCCCCCATCATACCAAGATCTGTGATCAAGGCCAGCTGTTCCATGACCCAATGCAACAGTGCGCCCAGCAAATGAATGTTGGAGCCAGTGTTGGAGCATCCAAGTTTGTTGATGTTTCTATGGAAAGCCAATACAGCGATATCCATGGCGTGCTGTAGTATCATGCCGTGAAACAGGGGCTTGTGATCCAGAGGACTTTACTCACAGCTGGGATGGGGTTGGCGATTCACTCATGGAGATCTTCAGCCCAGGCCGCTTCTTCCTATCGCTGTTTATTTTGCTATTCATCTTGCTGCCTTCCTAGAAGCCTGAAAAAGAAAAAACGTTGCCATTCAGAAACAGAGAGCTATCACTGATTACATTTAACAAATTCGTATTTAGAGTCTTTCTCCCAGCAGCATCAGTATAGGTAATGCCCAATACATAAGGGAAAAGGTAAATCTTTTGTATAATTATGCTAACAAAGTGAGCACTGCCTATTCAAAGTTTACAAAATGATATCAGCAATGTAATTAAGGGAAATCCCTTGCCTAACATATCTTCAATCACAGATAACAGTACTACTGTTATCTGTGCTTCAATGATTCCTGCCTAACATGATGACACTAGAATAACTGTTTTGTAGCAATTTTCAGTTCTCTAGTTCAAGATTTGTAGTCAGTGTGGTACCTAATGCTGCCAGCTGTACACAGCCAATTTTTTACCTAGGTAAGTATAGTTGACTACAGAATGATGTTCCATTTTTCACAGGTAATTTTGCCTGGAGTGATAGGCTATGCCGCATCACATGGGCTAATTTCACAAATTATAGATTTGTCCCAATGCTCACAATTGACACGCTTAATTGCATGATAAACAGCACAACTTAGCGCTCCGGTCAACTGATAGCTCTAATTTTGAGGAGTGGAACATCATGCTGTAGCCGACTATACATCAAACTTTGGACATTTTGAAGTGTTTTATGAGACCTGACACAAATAATATGATTCCGGTCGTCAAAAAAACGATTCACATTCGGTAGGTAGGCATCGAGCGTCGCTGCACATTGCACAAGTGAGCCTCTACTGGAGTACTGGCCAGCTGAGAATAAAATATCATCTTGATCTTGGTTTCATTTTTTGACTTTCTATTCAATTCTATGGCTAGTCTCACACCATATTTATTAGTGCACTTAAAATCAGACAGGCTTAAATAGAAAGATTTGAAAACAGGCATTATTTGAGTCAAATGTTACAAATGAAATATTAGGTAATCTGCACAAAACTAAAAGTGTTCTATTGAGTAACCGTACCCAGAGAATTTCGGTTGGTAACAAGTTGTCCACATGGTCCAGAGTCAGAAGTGGGGTACCCCAAGGTTCGGTGTTAGGTCCTGTATTATTCATCATTTATGTCAATGAACTACCAAGCCTGGTCAGAAGCAAGATTAAAATGTACGCAGACGATACCAAGTTGTATGGACCTGTTAGTAATCAAAGTGATGCTCTAAAGCTGCAAGCTGACCTGGATATACTCACCAAGTGGTCTGGAGAGTGGTTGTTGCAATTCAATTTGGAAAAATGCAAAGTAATGCATTGCGGCTCCCAAAATCCTGGATTCACTTACACAATGAAAACAGTAACTGGGCGGCCACAAATGCTTGAGGAAACTCTTGTAGAAAAGGACCTTGGAGTGTACATTACCAACACACTGAAACCTTCATTGAACTGTTCTAAGTCAGCAAACAAGGCCATGTCTGCCCTCAGGGTACTGAGGCTGACCTTTGGTCAACTAACAGTGAATAACTTCAAAACCCTTTTTTCGGTGTATGTTAGACCTCATCTTGAGCACTGTGTGCAAGCGGCTGGTCCCTATTTGAATAAGGACATGCAAGCACTTGAAAAAATACAAAGGAGGGCCACGAAACTAGTCCATGGATTGAAAAGAGTACCATATGAAGAACGTTTGAAAGTACTAAACATGACAAGTATGGAAGAAAGGATCAGAAGAGGAGATTTAGAAACATTTAAGATTCTTAAGGGGAAATTGAACGTACGCCCAGGTCAATTTTTCACTAGCCACCACGGAAGGACGACCAGAGGTCACCAGCTCAAACTTGAGATACGGAGGTCCAGGACCCAAGCTCGAGCAAAATTCTTTGCAAACAGAGTAGTCTCAGCATGGAACAAGCTGTCTCAGGAGATCATAATGTCTGAAAACACAAACACTTTCAAGAACCGGCTAGACAAGCTCAGGACCACTACGGCGCTATCCTCTCTCTTTAACATCCACAGTACCTAAGTTACCCAGTCTGGCCCAGTTTAATGCTCGAAGTGAGCACCGAATAGACCCTGTCTACCATAGCTCACTATATTAAACTTAAACTAAACTTAAACTATCAGAAGATGGTCTCCAGTCAAATTTTGTGAATTGGAATGTGCGGCAGCGGAAAAACCGTGTCCGGACAAAATTTCGTCTGACATTTTTTCGTCGGACAGTTTTTCGTCCGCAGATTTTCTTCCGACTTTTTTTCGTCTCGCATTTTTTCGTCTGTACATTTTTTCGTCTGTGCATTTTTTCGTCTGTACATTTTTTCGTCTGTACATTTTTTCGTCCGGACATTTTTTCGTTCGTATATTTTTTCGTCTGTACATATTTTCGTCCGGACATTTTTTCGTTCAATAAATTTTACGTCTGTGCACCCAAGGTTGATTAATCAACCTTGGGTTTAATTGGGATTAATCAATTGAAAACATACTACAATGCTATTCAAATGTGAGGCAAATGACGTCATAATAATACTCGGGGCGAAGCAGTGCAGTGCCAAAGGCAATGCCTTAGGAGAGATTACAGGCAATGGTAAGTCAAATATTTTTAGGTTAAGTGGTTGTGTATCTGGCTTCAGGCCGAAGGCCTGAAGCCTGATGCATAACCACTTAACCTAAAAATATTTGACTTACCATTGCTTGCAATCTATTCATGCAAGTAACTTTTTCCTTATCCCCGGTAGGCAAACATCAGTAGGTAAGGTTAGGTAAGGTTAGGTTAGGTTAGGTTAGGTTAGGTTAGGTTAGGTTAGGTTACGTTACGTTAAAATTGTAGACGAAAAAATGTCCGGACGAAAAAACGCACAGACGAAAAAATATACGAACGAAAAAATGTCCGGACGAAAAAATGTACAGAAGAAAAAATGTACAGACGAAAAAATGCACAGACGAAAAAATGTACAGACGAAAAAATGCGAGACGAAAAATAGTCGGACGAAAATCTGCGGACGAAAAATTGTCCGACGAAAATCTGCTGGACGAAAAACCGTCATGGGGCCTGTTCCAGCGCCTCCAGAAACCTCCAGAAAGCTCCAGAAAGCTCTAGAATCCTCCAGAGAGCGTTCCAGCGCCTCCAGAAAGCTCCAGAAAGCTCTCGCCAAAGCTCCAGAAACCTCCAGTAGGCTCCAGAGAGTTGAGAGGTCCAAATTTCTCTGGAGGCTCTGGTCTACAATTATGGTGCACATGTGACAATCACGAATGTAAACAAAGGACATTTGACTGATTATTTTACAACTTGAATGTAAAGAAAATTACATTGCTATAATTTTATTTATCTTTTTAACTAAAATTGAAAACAAATTTTGCGTTTCAAGAGAGAACAATCGTCATTCTTTTGGTATCTATGACGCCAATCTCCAGAAATCTCCAGATTGCGTTCCAGCGCCTCCAGTAAAACCTCTGGTAGAGCCTCCAGTCAAGAATTTCTTCTGGAGGCGCTGGAACAGGCCCATGGAATCGGAAAAACAGCAAGACTTAAAATAGCAAGAAGTATCAGAAGATGGGAGAGAGATAACTGGGTGATTTACCTTGGTATAGATCTCGGCTGACACAAAATTTATATTTTTAGGAAAATTCAAACAAAATGCGGTAAAAAGGCAAGAAGTATCCAACGCATCCCAACTTTGCAACCACCCGCCCACCCGCATTCCATTACAAACAAAACATTTTCGGCGGTGGCAGGCTATTTTTGCGGCCAACAACTGCGCCACAAACGTCTTTTTAATGATACGTTCGTCGTCTAGCGAAAACTCTAGAAATGTCGCAATGCTTTCGAAGCATAAACCATTTGGTGACTTTCAACTAACAACTTTCATTTATTCGGTTCGGATCGATGTTATAATTCAGGCAGTTAGAAACCAGAGGGCTGTTCACGGGCCCTGTGTGCGGTCGGACCGCACACAGCCTCGAAGCTCCGCCCACTTCGTCCCTACGTCAGCCTTCCGTCACCGCACACAGCGATCGCTGTGGCCGGTCGGGGCTGGCCACAGCGGACCGTCCACCGCACGCAGCCGTGACGTCAGAGCCGCCTACCCATCCCCTACCCCCACGCCTGCTGGACGCACCGCACACAGCGCACGCAGCAGTGTGCGGTGCCCGTGAACACCCCTCAGAACATACAACAAAGTAATTCGTTCGATTGTAGCACAGGATCAGTTTATCCTGGGAAGGGTAGAAGCTCACAGTGCTAAATGCTTAGCATTATCGCAATGCCGGTCTCCTTAGATTGTAGGAAAAATTGCGCTTGACTTGACAGTACTAAAAATTTAAATCTGATGAATCATGTTCAACATGTTGAAACGAAGCATCTAAAAATAGCATTACAACATTGCGCAATGCATCACGAGTCACGACTCGTCTGTTTCAAGCTGGGAATACTTCCATATTCGTCGAATGATTGATTTCAGAGAAAAATGCGCAAAAAGTCACTACACGTCCTATCCAGAGGTATTATCATGGGGGAGAGCGATCTTCGATGACTACTTTGCAATTAGAATCGTGATATGTGTACGGCTGAAGAACAAATTGCATCAATCTGATCCCACTCTCGGTAAAAGCATCAGGTGCCCTCTGCTTGGCTCTATCGGCCTGGCAGCAGTCAAAGACCATGGTCTCATCCTGCATTTCTGAGGTGCGACTCCCAGCGCTATGATTTATTTTTGCATGAGCAAACCGTTATAAAGCTGTTAACCTCACATCCGCGTTACATTTCCAGCCAGTTGCCATTTACACAATGAAGCGGGGAGTCCAACGGTGCCTAGATGTGAGTAGATGAGCTACAAGTCACTCCACAAAAAACCCTGACGTGTACAAATGTTTATTATGACGCATCTCCGTCTATATTTTTGTCACACAGAAATGAACCACCGACGCCACGCCTACCAGGTGACGTAATCGCACCAGCACCAATCAGCACGCGGCAGCCTGCGCGCATGCGCAGCTGGGCTGCCGGCGTCGAGCTCGCGCGAGCCGAGCCGCGCAGACGCTCGCTACAGTACAGTTCACACTCTACACGCACGAGGTACACAATGTACATCAAAAAGGGGGTCGGGTACCACCAACATGGCGTCCCATTATCAGGGGAGGGGTCGGCGAGCCTCCCACCGCACGTCGCCCTCGGTCACACGCCCGGATCGGCGGCGGCGCCGGAGACCGCGGCGGGCGTCCACTCGGGCAGAGGCCGCGGCATCAGCCGACCGCAGCTTCACAAGTGGAGCCGACGTACAAATAGTAATGTCAACTAAAGCGCTCTTCTCGCAGCGTACACAAAGTCCATTGGTTGATCGTCAGCCGGGACACCGGACACCAATCAAACGCCAGTTCGGACGCCGCAGTCGAATACGACACCACAGGCGCGCCGCGCAGACAGCGGGTCGGTGCCGCTCTCCGGGCGGCCGGCGAAAACCATCCTGTGTGCGAACACGGCGGCGACGACGAGCGACGCCGCGCCGGGTCCATTCGTGGCGCGCGCGCGCGCCAGAGATCTGCTGCCGGCGGACTGCGCGCTCCGCCGCCGGCGCCGTCCAGAGGTAAATAGTAGGACACAGGTCAAGTCCGGCGCACCGCGCGGCCAGCGTGCAAAGCGTGAGGTGTTGAGCAACTGGTGAAGAGGCGCGGCGTGCCACCTATGGAGATCAGGCAGGCGCGCCCGCCGCTGAGACACTGCTGCTCTCCGGCGGCGGCCGTGGCCACTGCAGCTTCGCAGGGCGGCCGCCAGGCGGCGGCTGTCGCGGCGAATGTGGCGAGTAGGTGGCGCTGGCGGCAGGCGGCCGGCGCCCTGCCTTATCTGCGCGATTCCACCTGCATTGGCTGGCTGCAGGCGCGCGGAGACGCGCCCGGAGAGAAGTGATTGGCCGGAGAGAACGCGGCGCCGCTGTGATTGGCCGGCGAGCCGTACATCGTGCTGTGATTGGCTGGAGAGCCGTACATCGTGCTGTGATTGGCCGGTGAGAAGGCGGCTCCGGCGGGCGAGCCGAACGGCGCGCCGTGCGGCGGCGGCGGAGGCGGCATCATGCTCGACACGGGAGACGTAGACATGTGCGCTGAAACAGACAGAAACGGGAGTTAGTGGCGAGCGGGTCAGGGTCGGCACTGACACTGGTGAATCGGTCTGGCTACTCTACGATAATACTGACACTGAGACAACAATGCGGGGGTGAGGGGTCGGGGGCGTGGTCACAAAATTATTCAAAAACGCATAATCGAAAGGATTATAAGCTGACTAGCATAGCTTGGAACAAGCAAAGAACGCCAAACACAAATGTAATGCGATGCAAACGAAGGCCATCAGCATCTGGATAGGGCTCAAATTCATTATCATAACAAGCCACCGGCTCAGTTTGTCGATAATGTGTAAACACCTGTAAGACTGATTAACAGTGATTCATCGTCCATTTAAAATTTACCCCTCACCCAACGCATTCCCTTTGTCAATCGAGAGGCCATATCCCAGTTTATTATCTCACAAGTGGTCCATCTCCAGTTTTCTCTAACAGGATTTGTCCATTCCAAATTTTCCCCACACCAGCATGTGTGGTAAATTAGTCCATTGCCCGTCACACCTAAATCGTCCATCGGACTGAAGGGGACACCCCCAGCTTTTGTCTCACCTGACGGGCTGGTTCCCAGTTTGTCGCTGGTGGACATCTTTCCGAAGGCCATCAGGGCGTCGGGGAAGTTGGGCGGTGTGGCGGGAGTGTTGGCTGGCGTCTGGAGCTGAAACACACACACAGGAGAGACGAATGTCAGCGGGACGGGTCTAACATAATCTCAGCGTGGGCGACTACAGTGGGCAAACGTGTTGGGGTAGGGGGGGGGGGCGATTTTATGGGGTTCATCACATGTGACATACGCCGACACACATCGCTGTATTGGCGATGAAAAGACGATAATATAAATAAGATGGCGATAGTAAGACGCGGCAGATAAGATTATTACGCATGCCAAATAAGAAATGGCATTCTGACATTGATTCTAGCCAATTCACACACTTTTCCTCGTCATTGTGTACCATAACTACCAATAACAATAAAAGTATGTTTATAATAGTGAAGTGATACGACCAGGGGCATGTTTATCACATCGCTTTCATCAGCCGACACATCTCGCGCCAATAACACTTCGAAGAGGAACCTTAAAAACACATGGACCCCGACGAGGCATCTAGGAAGGCATGACAAGAAACAGAGCACCCGGGACGTTCCAGACTTCTGGAGAGTTCCAGACGGGTCCATTCCAGCCAAAGGCAGGACACGAGTCATGTTGTGCAGCTAATAGCTATGGTGATAGAACAACCAGCCGGGGCTTACTGAGACCCTCCTGTCGCATTAGCAATAGAGGATTTGATGACACGACACACCCTTGATTGAAGCAAATACGCTTCAGTTACAGGGCTCACATCGTTTTCAATATTATCCGTACTAGCTTCCTCCCCGTCCTACAGATGGCAGCAGCTGCCTCTCACCCACTGCAGTTTCCCCAACCGCCGGTAGATGTCAGGCACAGCCCCGTCCGCCTCGAGTCGGCCATTCACCGCCGCATTGGCCACCACAAAAACGGCCTCGTACCGCGGCCGGCCGGCCGGGTAAACAAGCCGGCGAGGGTAGCCGGAAACTGGTGCGACGCCCCCGCCGCGGCGGCCTCGACAGGGCGGTGCATCTACCCGCAGCCGCCGGCCGGCGAGGCAGGGGCGACAGGAGTCAGGTTAGATGACGTGGGTTAGGTGTGCGTCATCGCGAGCCGTCCCCAGAAACCGACCACACCCGGATAGCTCGGAATTCATAATGGGGGAGTACTGTTTCAACACAGCCACTATTCATAACTGCCATCGGGTGTATTTCGGTATTGATTGTTCGTCCATATGACGCAGGAACTACAGTTAGCTGCGCATCAATCCAAACCCGGACGTGTAAATCGCCCACACTAACTGAGCTCAGCACACCAACTGCGTAGTTTTCTCTTATTGTCACGAAGCTCCCCGGCGGCGTATTCCGGCAGTAGCGACTCACTGTACCGACGGCGCAGGCATTACGTAAGCAGAACACAGGAAAACGTCGCAGTCGATTACCATGAGCAGTCATAACCCCACCGGGCCACGACGCATTGGTGGCGGTGCGCGGTCCCTGGTGGCCAAAAGGTCACGTGGTGACCCTGGGTAGGGGTGAGACCGCTAGAGGCAGTGTCTGCACAGCATCGGCCGTCCCCAAGGGTGTCCGATCAGTATCCAATCGATGCAGTCTGACAAAAACACATCAATCGTATTGTCCGTTAGACCGTGGTTCAATACAGACCAAAACACCACAACGCCGCGAGCCAAGAAAGAATGCTAGTGGACCCCGTCATATGGGATTGGTCATGGGGCAAACCGGGCTAGGGACAAGCAGCCACGAGCCCCCTCCCCTCCCCCGAATAGCTTCCAAGGCCAGCCGAGCCGGCCTGGTGTACGGTCCACAGTCGGAGCAGAGCGGATGTGACCGAACAGAGTCAGACTCAGCCAGACACAGCCACAGCGCAACGCACGCAACCGGGGAGCGCCGACAGAGCTTCCCAGACAGAAGCTTCTCGAAGGTCACCCGTCCACGTGGCATCATGTTGCGACACAGAGAACGGAAATGAACTCATCGGGTGGCGTCCCAGCGCAGTTTTCCGCATTTCACCCGTCCTCCATTGTTTGCTATGAGGCCAGCCCTGGTGCCTGGTTTACAAACTCGGTCGTATTTCCATTCTCTCTGGCCGTGTAGCGGTTCACCTCTCATGGCCAGCATGCGTCATCGCACCGCCTTTCAGCCGCGGCCGTATTCATGGCGAGCCCGAGCCGGGATTATGACGAGGAGTGGTACGAGTTCCAACTGAACTTCAGCTCACACCGCACGGTATCAGCCCAAATGGCGAGAAGGCGACGGAAAGGGCTTTAGGCCTACATGAATCGCCGATAAGATACTAGCACAAGAAGGGGAAAATTAGCAAACTGCTAGGAATGGCAAACTCAAAAGAAGTGTGAAAGAAACATGTGTTAACCATACATTCAATGACGATAGATAGCAATAAACGACTCAATTGCAGCGTGTCTCAAACCCCTAAACGTCCATCATGCGTCTACCTGCTATGGCTCTAAAAGCTGGACGAGCTGCCGCAGGGATGCGGAGCCGTGGAAATTTCAGACGGCTCCGGCTCCGGCTCCGGCTCCGGAGAAAAAAATCGGCTCCGGCTCCGGCTCCGGCTCCGGGTGAAATGTTATGGCGGCTCCGGCTCCGGCTCCGGCTCCGAGTAAAATGGTCCGGCTCCGGCGGCTCCGGCTCCGGCGGCTCCGGCTCCGACTCAGTACATCCCCTACGCAATCAATTAAATACGGGTGGAAGAAAAATTGGATTGGTTATACGCGTTACTCTTTGCCATGACCGGCTCACCGCGTTCCCGCGCAAACGCACCTCGGAGAGAACTGGCAGAACAAAGGGCTAGGAAGCGATGGCATTGGAAACGCAGTCGCCGCGAATCGGAGTTCAGTGAACCATCGTAAGCTGACACCCGTCTCGGCTGCATTGGGGGGTGAGGGGTGGGGTGTGTGTGGGATGAGACGGTGCTGGGAGTCGCAGTCCACTGCACTGGTTTGAAAACAATGGCCGTCACCTGATGACTGGTCCTCATGTTCTGGGGATGCAGTAGACGTGGGGGGGGGGGGGGGGAAGAGCAAACAGGAAGTTGTTTGCGTACTGTGGGATACTGGGGATATTCGGATTTTTTCATTTACTTGATGGCCCATGACGTAAGTACCATATGTTTTATTGCCTTGTACTGTCAAACCGAACTAGGTCAATTTTTTTTCCTCTTCAAAAAATAAAAAGGAGCCGGAGTCGCCCCCTTTTTTGGCGGCTCCGGCTCCGGCTCCGGCTCCGGGCTATATTGTTTCACGGCTCCGGCTCCGGCTCCGGCTCCGGGCAAAATATGCCGGCTCCGGCGGCTCCGGCTCCGACTCCGGCTCCGGCTCCGCATCCCTGCGAGCTGGACATTCCTAACTTATCGGCGCGATGACGTCTAACGTGACGTCACTATCGTTCGTGATACAAACTCAGTCGATGGACGCGGCATTTGACTGCAGTGTCCGCATTTTTGCTCGCTCAACAGACTCGTATTTTTGACATTTTCTAACGGAACACAAAATATACCTACTGGAAAAGTTCATCAAGACGATAACAACAAAAAGAGCTAAGGAGCTGGCAGCTATATTTATTTAGAGCGCTATCTTGGCATCTCTAGTGGGTTATACACACTGGACGACGGACAGCCCCAGAACAGCGCAGTTCGTAAACACAGCAGGCCAGCTCACAAAGAAACTGGTTCTCCACTGCACCAGTCCGACAGACACCCTCCAAAACCAGGGCGGACCGCGCCCCGGGGTGTAACTCTACACCGCAGACGGGGGTTTGTGCGTCCCACCGCGGCCGGTCGGCGGCCGGCACATCTGCCAAAACGGGCCGACCGGCCCCTCCGGCTCCACCCTCCCAGAGATCCGCCGTGCCTCGCACCAAAACATTACCGGCAGCGCCAGCCGCCGCCAGTCACGTGGCCTGCATGAGGGTTTTACGGGCGGCAGTCTGTGCACGTCACGTGACCGACGCCAGCGCCGCCGGTGGCCAAACAATGAACCACGACCCAAAACACGGCAGGCGGCGGCGACGGGCCCTTGCGGTGCGCGAACCCTTCTGTTTGGCCCAGAGCGGACCGAGCAAAGGGGAGGGGAGACAGCTGGAACGGTTATACGCTATGCTATCATTGTGGGAGAAGTCTGAACGAGCCAGAGTTGCAACAGATTTCACAGTCATTTCATTGGACAGAAAAGGTCTGAAGCGGATGTTCCACTGCTAGCATTCCAGAGCTCCCAGCTCAAGTGCCTTGCGCCTTGTCCCATCTGCTTCTTCACAACAACGAACCCCAGACAAAGTCCCAGAGATCTCATGCTTGCACCCATTCCACTACTAGCAGACTAGCAGTAGATCATGGAATTTCACAGGGTTCCCAACGCACGCCGCAGGACCAAGACCACATCCGGAGGACATACCACGGGGCGAACCACCGCCAACAACCGCCCGTCCAGCCCTCCATTTACCCACCACCGCCGCCGCCGCTGCTACCGCCGCCAAGGTCACACGGTCGCCCACCAGCGGCCTCACTGAACTCCGCTTTTTGTGCGGTGATGTAACCCACGCTTTACGCCTAGCCCGTATCGGCGGGCCGAAATGACAGATAGGCCCCGCTTTGCGCTGGTGACGACACATTGCTTTTGAATGCTGTTGACCTTATGCATAACTGACATCACTTTGCTGTGCCTACCTATGTCTCTTCTCCACACACCCCTGCTATATGTTCTTTGTATACTGTCCGTAGCTGGAGTAAATGACGTCATCGATGATGAAGTGGCAACATATTTCCAGCGTCAGGTTGAGCGCAAAAGTCATCCAGCGAGATGATATCGTCTGTCCATGAACCATGTCCGAGCCGACGCGCAGCGGCCGGATCCGCGGTCCGCTCGTGACCATATGAGGAAAAGGCGGCCAGAAGAGGTCAACGGGAACGCTTCCTCCGGCGGTGAGCCAGCAGCCAGCCAGCAGAAAACAGAGCCGCCACGGAAGAAACAAACAAAACACCGGCCGATAGGCCTCAGCACATAGTCAGAGCTCAGTCACACCACAGTCAGTCAAAGGTCACGGCTCACAACTCCA